GGGCCTGAGGCAAAAAAGACAGACTGAAAGGCCAGTTTGAGGTGGGAAGCCCAAGACACTTCCTTTGAAGGGGGACTCTCAAAGGACTATGAGAGAAGATCATCCATCCCCCACTTCAGACATGAGCACAGTAAATGGCTTGTCAGACCTTAGTGCTGAGTGAAAGGGAAAAATAATTTTCCTCTAAGGATTTAAAACCACTTGGCAATTAAAAAGAATGAACTACTTATAAACACAACATGGATTAACCTCAAAAACATTATGCAGAGAATTCAAAACCACAAGACAGCCTTTGTTTGGGTTTACAGGCTAAGTAAGGTCTCTCACGTTTACATGGCCAAATAAACTTCAAGCCAATAATTCAGTCTAAAGTGATCCTGGATGGATACTGACCTTGTGCTCACATGGGTGAACTATACAGGGTAAAGGGCTAGAGAGTAAATATTTGCGGTTTTGTGGGCCATAGGGCAACTGCACAACTTTGCTATTGTAAGGCAAAAGCAGATAGAGATCTACATTGACAAGTGGGTGCAGCTGTCTTCCAACAAAAGTTTATTTACAAAACAGGTGGAGGGCAGGATTGGGCCCATGGGCTGTAGTTTTCCAATCCTTATTGTGGAATCATGAGAGAAGAAAATGAAATTCCAAAAAATAAAAAAATAAAAAGACAACTGAGCATCATGAAAATACTCTAAACACAAATAAATAAGACTCCATGACCAAGAAGCAACAGAAAAAATTGACTCAGATCCTCCTCTGAAGACATTCTTTGGATTTTTTGGGAAAAAAAATAAAACTAATAAACATAAATAACCTCAAAATTTATGAGCTAGGTGCAATGGTGCATACCTGTAATTCCAGTGGCTCAGGAGGCTGAGGCAGGAGGATCGCAAATTCAAAGCCAGCTTCAGCAACTTAGCAAGGCCCTCAGCAACTCAATGAAATCCTGTCTCTACATAAAATATAAAAAAGGCTACGGATGTGGCTCATTAATCAAGTGCCGCTGGGTTCAATCCCTAGTACCAAAAACAAAAAACTTGTGAGTAAGCATGTTTGAAAAAGAATCAAATATTACTCCTAGAAATGAGAAATGAAAAACTAGAATAAGAAACTGAGTGCAGGGAATTGGGGAAGCAGCTCAGTGGTAGAGCACTTGCCTAGCATGCCCAAGGCCCTGGGTTCAATCCCGAGCATCACCAAGAAATAAAAAAAAAGAAGAAAGAAAAAAAACTCACTGAAGGATTATATTGAAGGGTAGTAAGAGCAGAATCAATAGAATTAAAGAAAGAATTAATTAATCAAATTGTGGAACTAAAGATTGTCCAGAAAGAAGTAGAGACAGGCAAAGAAATGAGAACTATAAAGAAAAGTGATTAAGAGATATAGGATAGGGGCTGGGATTGTGGCTCAGCGGTAGAGCACTCGCCTAGCACGTCCGAGGCCCTGGGTTCTATTCTCAGCACCACATAAAAATAAATAAATAAAAAAGGTATTGTGTCCAACTACAACTAAAATATAAATATTTTTTAAAAAGAGATATAGGATAGGGCTGGGGATGTGGCTCAAGTGGTAGCGCGCTCGCCTAGCATGCGTGCGGCCCGGGTTCGATCCTCAGCACCACATACCAACAAAGATGTTGTGTCCGCCAAGAACTAAAAAATAAATATTAAAAATTCTCTCTCTCTCTCCTCTCTCACTCTCTCTTTAAAAAAAAAAAGAGATATAGGATAGAGTGAGAAAGTAATGTCTGTCTTCTAAAAACAAAGGAAAGGGGGAAATAGGGCAAAAGATATTATGTAAGGGATATCTGAGAACTTTCTGTTCTTGATGAAAAATTCCAATCCACACATGAAAAGTCAAGTCGAAAGTAGACAATAACAAGAAACACACACCTGTATGCATCCCAGTGAAATGGTAAATTCCAAAAAACAATGACCTTATAATGTGCCCTCAAAATGTTAGCTTCAAAGAAGTCATGAGGGGCTGGTAGCTGACCGCAGCTAGAAGACAATCTTCAATGTACATAGAGAAAATAAAAAAATAAAAACTTCAATCTGAATATAAACTTCTATATCCAGGAAAAACTTTCAAGAATGGATACAAAGTAAATGTACTTTTAGAAAGGAAAAAACAGGGGATTGGCTACCAGCAGACTGTCCCTAGAGAAAAGTGATCCCAGATGGAAAGATTAAAATGTCCATCAGTCTTGGATTAATTGGAGATCACTAATATCCAATTTACATAAATAAATGGAAGAAGTAATAAATCCAAGAGTTCAAGCAAGAGGGAGAAGTGGAAGAAAGCAAAGGCACAAAATAAGATGATAAAAGGGGGAAGAACCAAAGAGGAAGTAGGGAAATTCTGAGTAAACCTTGACCATATCCAATGACAAGGATGATGACGTCAACAGGGGCAGTGTCAATTCGTGGGATTACAATTCATGATATCATAATATCATGTACATTGAGGGGAAATGACTGAAATTCAAGTTCTAAGATCCTTATATTTTTTCAGGAGAGTTAGGAAAATGATTGACTTTAGACTACAACAAGCATGCAAGTCGAAATTTTTAAAGTAACAGCACGATAAAAATAAGGCTATTAATCTCCAATTCACATAGATAAAATAAGTGGAAGTAGTAATAAATTCAAAAGGGAAGAAAAAATAGAAGAGAAAGCACAAAATAAGATGATAAAATAAATCCAAATATGTTCTTATATTAGACTTCAATGTTGCTCTCTCACAACTGATGGGTTGTGTAAAATGGCACACCAGTTTTGAAAATGGTTCAATAGTGTCTATGTTAAAATTGGGTATGCTAATACCCTACCATGCAGCTATCCTAATGCCACTAAACAACAGACTAGAGAAGTTCTCGTGAGCGTACATCAAGAAACATACAGAAGCATGTTTACAAAACAGCTAGAAAAAAATCCTAACGTCTGTCAAGATAATTAGAATAAGAAAATGACTTTTCCTGCCTTTGGGGATACAGTCAAGTTCTACTTATTAGTCTGGGTAATGAGTACACAGGTATTTGTTGTTACATTGCCCTTAAAGTGGACCTACTTACTTTCACATACACTTTTGTATTTTCTATTTTCTTTTTTACCATCAATAAAAAGACAAGGGAAAATCAGATAAGTGTAAAAGCTGCAAAGCCATTAAGTACCAGAGCCACAACTACAGCATGTTTTGACTATCCTGTTACCTTCATCATTATTGAGAAAATGATAATACCAAATACTAATAGAATCCACTAGGAACATGTGTTAAAAACCAAAAGCAAATCAGGTATAATGCTGCAAGCCTGTAATCCCAACTACTAGGGAGGCTGAAGAAGTCCAAGGCCAGCCCCCGCAGCAACTTAGCCAGAATTTGTCTCTAAAAAAAGGAGGGGGGTGCTGGGGATAAAACCCAGAGCACCCCTGTCAAAGCCTCTCCACTCATACTGCAAATAAAAAGAGCACACTTTTGTCAACATTCTTATTAGGGACCCCAATCTACAGTACCAATCCCATACCCGAGCGTTGCCCCTACCTCCCATCACAACCTACTCTGTCCAATCAGGAGGTGGTTTAGGTCAATAATAAGATATTTCAGAAACAAAGACTGAGAGCAGCTGTGACCCCAAGAGGCAGTTCTCATGACCACATACTATCTGTAATTACAAGAAACCAACAAACATTATATGTTAAGGTATCAACAGAATGCTCAAAGTGCCACATACACATGGAGAGGGTGGTCAGGCCACAAAGATGATGTTGACTATGGCTTGGGAAGTTGTTTATACAGGAAAACCTTCCTGGAGACTGTCCTTTGCACCCAACTGTCATTCAGAACCATTTCCCTGTGGTCTTGAGTGTATTTACTGCTTCACACATGGCTGCTCATCCAACCCCAGCATGTGCCATGGCATTTCAGAAGCCACTGGCACTCCTAAACCTTGTTGTGTGTACTTATGGCCTACAGCCAAGACAAAGAGTCAAAAAGAAGTCGGGGGTGGGAGGGTAATCTCAAGGCTCAGTTCATCAATCTATGCAAGGATTAGATGGAATGATGCTGATGAGATTTTTCTACCAAATCCTGTCTACCCTTGATCTCACTACAATCATTGTCCTGAAAACTCAGGAATACTAAACTCTATAGACACAAGACTTCTAAAGTGGGAATCTTGAGCTAAATCTGATCAAGACTTGCTTTCCAGAAACATGTTTTCAGTAACATGACAATTGCAAGCAACTTGAAAATTCACTGTGTACATCAAAGACCTACAGGAAGAGAAAGTTCTGACCAAGCTAGCATCAGACTGCCCAATGAATACACAACAGCTTTGTTGTTTTCATGGTGCTTAGACACATCTTATCCGTGACCAAACAAAATACCATTAGCTATTTTATTAGCTTTTCTGAGAAGTGAGCTAATAAAATAGATCTCTTAATTCAAGCTATATTGAATATCAAAAAAGAAGAAAAAGGAACTTTTCTGAGGGAAAAAAAACAAATAAAACAAAGGGCCATCTCAACATATTTGAATCTGATGATTCCTGGTCAAGATCACCCTAACAGTTTGAAGAAGAGGCAACAGAGAAAGAGAGTGGAAATATGAGAACAGAAAGGTGCTGACCACAAGGGAAACCTGTTTACAAATTTTTCTTTGGGATCAAATCCTACTAGCTAGATGAGAAGAGTACACACTGATGGGGCCATGCCAGGCCTGCCTGGCTAGTCTTTTAGGTGTAATTGTCTGGGTTCACCTGCAAAATACCTTAAGTCTGGGACTTTGTTCAAGGGCAGAGTCCACAGGGCCAGACTCCAAATAAGTAAAAGGGGAAAAAAAAAAAAGACTAGTGGCTGATGTTCTAGTTTCGTACGTGTTCCACTCCGATAAAATCGATGAGTATGTCACTGAAAGGAAAACAATCTTTGTTTATAATAAGAAGGAATTTAATTCACTCAAAACCAGAAGGTAGAGAGGAGGAGGAAATAATGCAACACATGTTTAAAAATATAAAATTTATTTATGTTCATGGTAAGACAGTTCACATTCTGTACAAGGTTACCAGGAGAGATAATACTCAAGAGTTTACAGTGGTATTATATTGCTATCCAACATTGCTTATGCTATTTGAGTTAGGGAATGCTTATTTCCCCCCTTTAAAAATATTTAAGGCTCAGTTTCCAAAAGGTAATGATACCACTTGTTTTTCTGCTTAAAAGACCAGGAAGATCTGAGAATAAACCACTAAGGGTGGGAGGGTGAGGGGCGGCTTTCACTCATTCATACTGAAGATACCCAATGTGACTTTTTTTTTTTAAGGTTCCTTATATTTGAAAATGTGTTTGGTTACAAAAACAAACAAGTTGGTAGATGGAAGGGAATCTTTAGCATACACACAAGAAAAACTAACTAAGCTATTAATCACCATTGATGGTTGAAATGTGTTGTGAGTCTCCTATACATAAATACATACACACCTTTACTTCCACTCAATTTTTCTTTGGTGAAGCTTACCAAATAGTATTACTGTCCCAACACATTAGGGAAAAAATAATTTATACTTCCTTTTGGCTTTCTGGTCAGGTCACCACAAAGTTGTCCTTCACCCTAAAATACAAGGTTCCATTTTTCTTTTCAACTTTATAGTAACACAGAACCCCAATGGTAACCTCACATTGTTGTGTGACCCCCCATTGTGTAAGTGAAGAAAAGCAAATTGTGGACACAGATAGTTGGGATAGTTTCCAAGAATTTACCCTATGAACGAGGTTCAAATACTCCCTAGAAGCACTTGTCCCTGTAAAAATATTTCATTCAATCACCAATGACACCATCATTTTACAAAAGGCAGAATCTGTTTTGCCTCAGTCAACTACCTTACAATTGATGAGGCTAGTGCTCCAACAGCCTCAGGAAAGCCACAACAGGTCACCTGTAGGTTCTGCCTCTGGTATAAAGAGGTAGAGACAATCATCCTGTAGAAAATATTAACAATAAACAAAACAAAATAATAAAATGAAACAAACCCCCCTCCCCAAAAAACACTTCACTTCTAAGGTAGTTCTGGGAAGCCGAGTTTATCTACAGGGTAGCATCAGGGGTGGCCTCAGTCTGATTCCAAGTTGGGAGATCCGTTGCCCACAATCATTTTGCTATAATTCTTCTGCTGCTCTTCCTTAAAGGTGTCCTTCACCTTTGCTCTCTTCAGCCCTCCATCCCTGGGAGAAGAAAGGTAAATTATAAAAGATATTCTCTGGTAATGATGTAGAAGGGTCACGTGTTAATATTGTATCATGGCATTTAAGCAACTGATCAGCAAGGGGGCAAAGGTCCCTGGATCTGGAAGCAGGCAGACCACATTTCAGCCTCAATCTACTAATACACATTATTTTAAGGAAGGACAACCTCCCTAATGTTTGGTTAAAGTAAAGAAAGATACGTCCTCTACTTAGTTTCTTTTTAGAAGTTAGGACTGCTGCATTCAATATTTGAATTAAAACCTGGATTATGAAAACCAGGATTTATTTCTCTATTTTTTTTCCTTAAGGAAAACAAATATTGTTTTTCATCCACCTGTGTCTTACTGGAAAACTATACAAACGTTTTAAAATATACCCACAAGAAATGGTAAGAATGATGTGTATATGTGTGCAGATACACAAGTTAATCATTATTTAAATCTAATCCCATGTTTACTAAGATTTGTTCCTAGACAAACACTATATTTCTAGTATCTGCAATTTACCATGTTCCAAACAGACTTGGGCTAAAAACAATCAAATCATAAATTGCATCCCACCAGCAGTTAGTCTCTAAGAAAGCATCATCCCCTCATTCAGAGCCTGTGAATCTCCCCAGAGTGGTGAATCACAGACCTGCCTAGGTTAAGAGGACTCTTCCTGCCTTTCCTTCTCTGGACTACTCAAAGAAAAAACAAACTGAAGAGCTGGGAAGAAACAGGGGGCCACCCTCTCCCTACGGTTCTAATTCTTAGATTTTAACTGTTAGGCACAGTGCAGACTGAGAGGCGCTTACTTTATACGGTAAATGTTTAATTTTTCACCCTGTTAGCACCAGTGTTTACCAAGGGCTTTCTGATGGTAATGAGTGATCACAGGTTAGCTAATGAACTCAATGCCATGAGAACGAAACTTGACCTCCATGCAGAAGACTGCCTGAGACCAGCACAAAGTTCTGGCTTGTAAAGTCAAACCTAAGGGTCAGCCCACTAGCAAGCCCTCAATTTAAATGTAGACCACAGTCCACAAACTGCGCAGAGGGGTCAGTTGTGGGAAGTTTCCATGAAATGAAAAACATCTTTAGGTCCCCAGGATTGTCCACAAAGCCTTTTTTATCCAAATGAATTGCCTCTAGATAATTCATAGCATTTGCATGAATTCTGAACAGTGTGAGCTAAGGAAGGGAAGGAGAGTCAGAAGGACTTTTCTCCTTCTGTGAGGTCCAGGATAAAAATGAGCAAAAATTTGAAGTTAGAGATGTTTGTCTATGAGAAGCCTGACATTATTTTTGTATACCTCTCCTTCCAAACACCCAAACACCCAGTAAACTTCATGCTGCTCTAAGTACCCCAACCGTGAGGTGTTACAGTCTTCCTCTGTTCCCCTTTAAAATGGCAGTAAATTAGTTCTTAAGAAAAAAAAAGTAATAACTATATGTAAGAACCAGTTTAAGATCACCCAACAGTTTTCATTCAATCTACAAAAAAAAAAAATGTCAATTTAGCCAGGCATGATTACATGCACAACTGTAATCCCAACAACTTGGGAGGCTGAGGCAGGAGGATCATAGGTTTGAGGCCAGTCTCAGCAATTTAGCAAGGCCCTAAGCAACATCGTGAGGCCCTGTCTCAAAACAAAAAATAAAAAGGGCTGGGGATATTGCTCAGTTCAATCCCTGCTACCAAAACAAACAAACAAACAAAAAAAAAACACTAGACAGAGCTTGTGTGCTCCTTTCATATCTCTCTCTCTCTCTCTCTCTCTCTCTCTCTCTCTCATTGCACAAAGAGGTCATGTCAATGAGGGGAGAAAGCAGCCCTTTGCACCTCAAAAGGAGACCCTCACCAGAAATGGCCACATGGCAGCATCTATAACTGTGAGAAAATAAATCTCTGCTATTTGAGACACTCAGTCTATGGTTTTTTGTTACGGCAGCCCAAGCTAACTAATATATTCAACTGTATTCAGTCATTCTCAAACAAACAAAAAATGAAAGCCATATAGTTACCCTAATTAAAATATCTCACTCATTTCCTTTCTTTCAAGTTTTTAAGGTTTTCTTTAATATAGTTATAAATGGAATTAAATATGAACAAGCTTGTCTGTAGCTCCTTGCCTCACCCTCAAATCCATTCTACATTTCTTCTTCAATAAAAGAACCCTACATTCTAGCTAAGGACATGGCCACCTACAACAAAGACTACATTCCCCAAATTCCTTTGCAGCATGTATCAGCATATAACTTGAGATAAACTTCTATCTTAGTTAAGCCATTGTTATTTTGTATAAACCACACTCACTTTTGGCTTAGCCTGTAGCTAACTAGCATAAATAAGTAACATTAACAGTGATTTTTTTAATTAAAAATAATAATAATAATAATAATAATAATAATAAAACTCTTAAAAAATTTCTTACCAGGGAAGTTCAGTCAATCCTCCTTGTACTGCAATAGCAGACTTAACCCTGTTAGCAAACTGGACTGCATCTTCTCCTTCCTGGTTGGAAAAAAAAAAATCATTTTTAAGTACACATTTAGGGTATAGAATTTTTAAATAACACCTTAAAATGTCTCGTAATCATTTATATTTGTTTTAAAATATAAGATTCATATTTCAGCTCAAATACTTTCTATTCTGAGTCAAGCATAACAAGTATCATTTATTCTATCAAGAAAATACAGTGTTTTATTAATTTTTGAATCATGAGTATATCTTTAATATTTTTTTTATTACTTGTACCCAAAATATAACATTCCATATTACCTGTAGGCTCAATAAACCAAAAACAATTGTAAAGCTTTTACGGAAAAGAGTCTCTCAATATAAACTGGCTTGAATTAAAGAGCACTAAACACAGTATTTTTAAAAACACCTAGGTGCATTGGTGCACACCTATGGTCCCAGCAACTGTGGTGGGAGGATTGCAAGTTGGAGGCCAGCATCAGCAACTTTGCTAGGCCCTAAGCAACTTAGTGAAACACTGTCTCAAAATAAAACACAAAAAGGGCTGGAGATGCAGCTCAGGGTACAGCACCCCTAGGTTCAGTCCCCATTACTCCCTGAAGGAAGGAAGGAAGCAAAGGAGGAAGGAAGGATGGAGGGAGGGAGAGAGGGAGGGAGGGGAAAGAAAGAAAAACTAATTGCTGAGAAAGCAGAAAGGCATGATGAGAACGATGAAGACACCTGGGGTTTTTTTGCCTTTATCTGATTAGACAAAGCACCTAAGACCAAGTGTTATCTAAGAAATACCTCTTTAGTCATGGGGGGCATGTACCACACATCACAGACGATGGCCCAACTGGTCATCATGCGAAGTAAGT